TTGATGTACCGTAGCTATGTCTGTTAGGGCACATGCTGGTAGGAGATGTGGGTCACTGATAGATGGGGATTTGGTGTACCGTAGCTATGTCTATTAGGGCACATGCTGGTAGGAGATGTGGGTCACTGATAGATGGGGATTTGATGTACCGTAGCTATGTCTGTTAGGGCACATGCTGGTAGGAGATGTGGGTCACTGATAGACGTAACTTGGCACATTTGTATCAGTTGTATAAATTTGTAGAAATGTATGATATGGAAAAGATGTGCATCAACCATTTTAAATAATTAGTCATCATAATTAGTTATGTAGTTTATAGAATATTGTCAATGTTTCAGCATGGAATGTTTGCTCAATAAAATATCTTGTATCTTGTACAGAGCACGAAATATGTCTGTGAAGATCAACATGTTAGATAGCGAGGCACAAAACAGCTAACTACAAGGACTAGCCACGAGACCGATAAAGGAAATGTACAAAACGTTCACCATTTAGAGCTGAATGTCCAGACCATGGCTACCTAATGTGACCTGCATGTGACACTGGTTGTCTTGACACATGGACTCAACATGGGGTTGAAGACTGACTGACTGAGTTTGGTTTTACGCCGATTTTAGCAATATTCCAGCAACATCACGGCGGGGGACACCACAAATGGGCTTCACACATTGTACCAATGTGGGGCTTCGAACCCGGGTCTTCGGCGTGACGAGCCAACGCTTTAACCACTAGGCTACCCCACCGCCCCCTGTGGTTGAGGAGGGAGGAATGGTATAATGGACATTAGACCCATCATGGCAGGAGCTTAGACTCTTCTGTAATATGTCGAACCATGTACACAATACATGATGTAACTAAGTTATCCTGAAGGTACTCCTTCCTACAGCTGGGTAGCCTAGTGGTTAAAGCGTTTGTTCATCATGCCGAAGACCTGGGTTCGATTTCCCACATGGGTAAAATGTGTGAAGCCTATTTCTGGTGTTCTCCACCGTGATATTGCTGGAATATTGCTAAAACCAGCATAAAACCTATAGTTAGTTGGGAGATTCAGCCTGGATGTGGGGAGCCTTGCTTCATTTAGGGCTTTAGCATTGCAGGGAAGGCAAGGTGGAAGGGAACACAATGTGGTTCAAGGACTGTGAGACAGACTACATTGCATAGGACCCTCTATGCTACCCTCCCCCTTCATAAACCACATTCATCCTTCATCAGCTTATGCTTCTCACTCTTGACCTTCCCTATAAAAGTCCAAACCCCTAACACATACATCAACAGAAGATTTTTTCCTTCAGTTATCAACTAGAAAGGACTCAACCGGATGTTCACGTGGACCTTTGTCACACCGTTTCTATTGTTTTTGACCCCTTCCCAACTGTTATCCCATATATGTATACTCTTTCTGTCACACAGATACACAAACACACAGACAAGCCAAAATAGTAAACCTTCCTTTTCCCCACCCACACTAGATACAGTTCAGGAAATAAAGTAACATGACCTAACTGGTCTTCCAGAAATGACAGGCTTTGTCTATTTTTTCACCGCCTGGAAAGAGGGGAGGTCATCCAGTGGAAATCTGACAAGATGGCTCCTTCCGACCTGTTGAACACCACTAGGCTATCCCATGATATCTACAGAAGTCTTCTCCATGTGGTCCACAGGTCGGTCCCACAGCTGGGCCCTATTTCTGACTTCTAACAGATAAACCAGTTTATTTTTAAAAATGTATGGTAAGCTAATGGGAGGCAGTAAGTCAATCCTGAAAAACTTAACGTGAGAAGGCCATTTTCAAATCTGTGAAAATTAAGTCATGAAATTAATAACAGTTGAAATACTGTATGCCATTGTAATACGTTTCCACGTCATTTATGTCCTTTGTAAGCTTCATGGGCGGTGGGGTAGACTAGCCGTTAAAGTGTTTGCTCGCCACGCAAAAGACCTGGATTCGATTTTCCACATGGGTGCAGTTTGTGATGCTGAATACTGGTGTTCCTCACCATATTACTGGAATATTGCTAAAATTCACTGACTGACTCACTCACCCACTAATAACCTAACACTTCAAACTTACACCAATCTAAGCTAGTTTCTAATTTGTAAATATAGCCCAATGTCAGAAGCTGAGTATCACAGAGAGCAGTGCCCTTCTGGAGCAGCAGACTCTGGGAGCTCTTGAAACCAAGGGGATATTTGATAGCATCTGAGTGGACTGGCAGCAGGTGCCCCTTCCATGTTGTGTGGTTAACCTACATCCCTGTCAGAGGGAGAGATAAATGGTACCATTGACCTCATTGCTGACCCAGTCAGAGGTTCCTTAGAATAATGCTTAGTCTTTGAATATATATATACTTTGATAGTAACAAACAAACCCATTTTAATTGAAAAGGAGCCCCAGGGAACCAGAGATGTTGAACCTGAGGATTGAACTACCGTTGTAGTGAAGGGTAACAATACAAGCCAATAGCGAGATGTTAAAGCAGTAGGATATCCCTACACCTGTAGTTCTGGTATGTGAGGTGAGGTGAGGTGAGGTGAGGTGAGGTGAGGTGAAATTGTGTTTAACGTCGTGCTTGAGAATATTTCGCTCATATGACGACGTGCATGCGTGTGTATGTGTATGAGCGGCTGCTTGTACTAGCCCAGACTGAAGCAGGTTTTATAGTGCTAGCCCACTGAGATACCATGCCGCAGTGAAGCATGAATACCCCACTCAGACACATTATACTGACTCCGAGCCGACCAGTCCTTGTTGTACCCATTAATGCCGAGAGCCAGGCAGGAACCAACAAGTTCCACTGTCTGATGAGTGAGTGAGTGAGTGGTTGAGTGAGTGAGTTTAGTTTTAACTTCTTTGAGAGGCATTTAGAAGTTGGAACAGCAAGGAAGGATAACACTATATGGACGAACAACTTCTTTATTGCTGCGAGAGTCAGAGAGTTTAGTTTTACGCTGCTTTTAGCAATATCACGCCGGGGGACACCAGAAATGGGCTTCACACATTCTACCCATGTGGGGAATCGAACCCGGGTCTTCAGTGTGACGAACAAACACTTTAACAGCTAGGCTACATCACTGCCCCCACTGTCCGATGAATATATCTTAAGATGTCCGAACACTAACATTGGGCCTACCCACCAAAACATCCATTATCGACTGTTTTACTCCAACATACAACCCAAGCCTTACAATGGAAACTTAATGTTTGACTTTATAAGCTGCTTATAAAATATATAAACAACAACGTAGTTCCTTCTAACCTGCTTCTCCTTTAAATACATAGAATATTTATCCTCCTATTTAAGTCAACAGTGTGAGGGAAATGTCACTGACCCCATTTCTTATCACATCGCAGGCTAATCTCTAAGTCAACTCCTTATTCGCTATGTTTACAGACTCTCTAACAAGTCCCAGAAACTCAAGAAATATGGATCCAAGCTCTCACATATCCCATCAGTTCTCACAGTTCCAACCATTCACAGATCCCACCTCTCACATCATATCCCACCAGCTCTCACAGATCCCAGGATTCACAGATCCCACCTATCACAGATCTCACCAGCTTTCACAGATCCCAATATTCACAAATTCTACCAGCTCTCACAGATACCAGTATTCACAGATCTCACCAGCTCTCACAGATACCAGTATTCACAGATTCTACCAGCTCTCACAGATCCCAGTATTCACAGATCTCACCAGCTCTCACAGATACCAGTATTCACAGATTCCACCAGCTCTCACAGATCCCAGTATTCACAGATCCCACCTATCAAAGATCTCACCAGCTCTCACAGATACCAGTATTCACAGATCTCACCAGCTCTCACAGATCCAAGTATTCACAGATCCCACCAGATCTCAAGATATAAGCATTCAGAGATCTCAGCTCTCAAGATAAAAGCATTCACATATCTCCACTCTCTCAAATCCCACCTTTTACTGATACACATCTGAAAGCTGCTCTTAACCCAATTCAGTCACTCACTCGTTTAAATGACATTTACTGCATACTTATGACTGAGTGAATGAGTGCATGATCGAGTGATCGAGTGAGAGTGTTTAGTTTTACGCCGCTTTTAGCAATATTCCAGCAATATCAATGCCAGGGAACACCAGAAATGGGCTTTACACATTTTCTACCCATGTGGGGAATCGAACCCGGGCCTTCGGCGTGACGAGCAAACGCTTGAACCAATACGCTACCTCACCGCCCGTCGTACTTATGACCATCAGGTGTGGATAAATCCTAGAGGCTACAGCATCACAGTAGCAATGCAACCAAGACCACATTACATAGACTAAACTAATGAGGTGATGAGGTGAGGTGAAATTGGGTTTTACTTCGTTCTTGAAAATATTTCGCTCATATGACGACGTGCATGCGTGTGTATGTGCATGTGCGGCTGCTTGTACTAGCCCAGACTGAAGCTGGTTTTATAGTGCTAGCTCACTGAGGTACCATGCCGCAGTGAAGCATGAATACCCCACTCAGACACATTATACTGACTCCGAGCCGACCAATCCTTGTTGTACCCATTAATGCCGAGCGCCAGACAGAGACCAACAAGTACCATATTTTAACGTCTTTTGGTATGACGCGACCGGGGTTTGAACCCGTGACCTTCCACTCTCCAGGCGGACGTTCTAACCAGTACACCACGGAGGCGGTCGACTAAACTAATGCTTAGTCTCTGAATATATACAATTTTGATAGCAACACATAAATCCGTATAAATTGAAAAGGAGCCCCAGTGAGATTGGAAATTCAGAACCTGAGGAAATCTAGACGTTTAGGACTTTGCATTGCAGGGAGGGCTAGACAGTAGGGAACATAGTGTGGTTCAGGGACTGTGAGACAGACTACATTGCAGGGAGGGCTAGGCAGTAGGGAACATAGTGTGGTTCAGGGACTGTGAGACAGGATATATTGCAGGGAGGGCTAGGCAGTAGGGAACATAGTGTGGTTCAGGGACTGAGAGACAGATTATACACAGACATACCTGTAAAACTGGACTGTCTATATATTGATAAGCACTGGGCCTCGCTTCCAGCGTACTGAAGGCCACACTGCCCCCAGTCAGAGGAGATATATCACTGAATTCATCGTTACAGAGTGCTACGGCTTCATTCTCCCTCCGAACAACTGCTCGTCGAGGTAATCCATACGTTCTCTCACATGAAGCGCTATAAAATTGGAATGGGACCCATTCATCGTTATCACTTTTCCTCTTGTATATGGCGAAACTCTCTGGCCTTGGGGAATGGAAGCGTATCCTCACATAGGTAATGTCGTATGTTTTTTCTGAAAGATAAAGAATACAAAATTAAAGACAATATTGATGGTAACATCTTACATGAGAACAACCTGGCCACAGTTGACACTGAAAACATACAATCATAACTAATCAGAATGATATTACCTTATTTAGATTTCTCACTAATACTAATATTCAAAGGTAAATACAAAAACATGCTGTAGACATGAAATAATGAGCAAAGACCTAAGGAAGGGGGAAATGGAAGGAGGCTTTCCATCCCTTGAAGTGAGTGAGTTTAGTTTTACGCTGCACTCAGCAATATTCCAGCTATATGGTGGTGGTCTGTAAATAATCAAGTCTGGGCCAGACAATCCAGTGATCAACAGCATGAGCATCGATATGCGTAATTGGGAACCGATGACATGTGTCAACCAAGTCAGCGATCCTGACCACCTGATCTCATTAGTCGCCTCTTACACAAGCATGGGTTGCTGAAGATCAATTCTAACCCGGACCTTCATGGCAGTCCATCCCTTGGATTCTCCAAAAAGAATCAGGAGATGGGGATTCCCTCTCCATTGGAATACCAGCTTGGCCATAGTGTATTCTTTTCTCCTTGCCTGAAGTCCCCAAGGATGGGTTCAGAATTGGCTCAGAGAGACAAGGATGGATTGGGCCTGCTCTTCCCTGAATCAACTCATAGGGCCAGGGCCTGTTTCACAAAGCTATCGTAGAGCGAAGGTGATTATAGCTCCCATACTTTAGCAAAGACTTACAATAATCGTAGTGCTACGATTGCTTTGTGAAATGGTCCCTTGGTAAACCCTGACTGACTGACAGAGTTTGGTTTTACACCGCTTTTAGCAATATTCCAGTAACATCACGGCGGGGGACACCACAAATGGGCTTCACACATTGTACCCATGTGGGGATTCGAACCCGGGTCTTCGGTGTGACGAGCCAACGCTTTGACCATTAGGCTACCCCATCACCCCCCTGGTCTACCCTGAATCATTGGTAACTATTTTGATTGGTAACTATGTACATGGGAAGACAAGGGTACTGGGTAGCTATTTCACCCTGGAGTCCTCAGTTAGAGACAAGCATGTGAACAAGACAAACTCTGGCTTGAATCCCCACGGGGTCAGAAGGCAAGACTGTGAAACCTAGTACAGAAGTTGTAAGGAAATGTGCAGAGTTCCAGAGAGTCCGCAGTAATTCAGCTTGACATTCCACATATACCATGTGAGTTGTTTCCTTTCAGGCAAGTTTACAAACATGACAACCATGGCCAGCTGTGGATGAGGCAGACATGAGTCAGCCTTAAGATGCTGAGTCTGAAAAACAGACTGGCCACCACCCCTGTCATCAAAACATCAACTCACTGGCCACCACCCCTATCATACACCAACCTACATACATCAAAGGCTCTTAATGCTCTTCAGGGGTAATAGGGACAATGGATGAGAAAAAAAGATTTAGATAATATGTACTCTTGTAGCCTAAATGGTGATCATAAAAACTCCCAATTCAGGTCGTAACTAATGTGATCAATTGTATTCAACTGATATAAAACTAATATAAAGATAGGACTTTATATTTCATTAGTGCACCAAATACCTTAAACAATAAAAAAACCGCACAATTTAAACCATATCACAATTTTGATTTAAATAAAATTGTTTCCAAGACACCTTATTTGAAATCTTCGATAAATCCTTTAAGGAAATGGTTGGAAGTTGAGAGGTGGAAGTCAGCAAGAGTACTTGAAGACAGCTTTGCTGAGTCCTCAGTTATGCAAGTCATAAATCAGACTTGTTTCTTATCTGTCAGAAGCTGTTTTCAAGGTTCCAACACAGGAACATTTGTGCCCTGTGATAGGCTGTTAAAACTGTTAACAGCCCTGATTGGCCTAATTCTCATAGGCTGAACCAGCAAAGGAATTGTGGAGATTTTATACTTTGGGAATGTCAACTGAGAAATATGTGGACACATCTGAAGGTGAAATAGGTTATAAAATGACTAATGGGCTGATCAGAGTCTCATTAAAACTTAGAAGCAAGTTTGAAGACAAAGGCCTTTTTCTTCAGCAACCATCAAAAACCTCTCTGATGATCTGCTTTCAGTCACGGATCAGAATCATAAACCGTAGCAGTTCTACCCATTCATACGAGGAGAATACTCTCAGGTTCATTCCACCTGATTACACTCTATATATTTTCAAATCCTGGGTGGTCTTAAGGGAGACAACTCATCTCCACACTATTAATACACATTCACCAGTGCATTAATGCAGCAGTGCCCAGGAACATCTTATATATTGTATAGATTCTCCTGCCAACAGAAAGCTGTCACTACGAGATTTATACCACAGATGACTGTTACGCAGTTAAACACCAGACATACCCTACTGTTTATCGGTGACTTATCAGCAAGAGTCAGGTGTGAACTGCCCATAGGAATGGAATGCTATTAGATAAATCAATGGTCACTCAAGACCTACAGCAGGTGAGGGCACATTCAGGTGTGCTCATGGGTCTTAAACATTCATCCAGGGCTCATGATAATGTTTTCAGGCACTGCATTTTAAGGGTACATTGAGATTTCTTTGGGATTTCAATACATAAATACTCTCTTGGGTATTTTTATACAACTTCTGGTTTGGATCATTATTTTCTGAACTGGATGAATTTATGTACATGTGATGCCTACATTCGACCAGAATATAGGTACACAAATTGAAAGGGCTACATTTTGGGAAATTACATAATTTCATCATAAGTCACCGTGAAAAGCTAGAAAAGTGCTGATACGGCATAAAGCAATATTCATTCATAATTTAGGGTTTCTGAAAATATTCGGCATATTTGTAGACAATTAGCTGAGAAGCGTTACACTCAGGTGATTTATGTTTCTGGTTCGGGCAGGTATGTAGCTGATCTGGAGTTGTAGTTACCTGAAGCCCTCTCTGTGAGCTGAATGGAAGGGAGGGGAAAACCTGCTGTCACTGCAGGGGACTTCCGTACGTATATTTTTACCAGGCTGCTCAATTATTTCATTATTTATCCAAGTAAATAGGGTGATACTCAGGTGAGGAGCAAGAAGTTATTTCTGTGGGCACACCTGATATTTCAGATTTAGGTGTTGTGATGACCGGTGTGAATAGAAGCTCAAATTATATAGAAACATTGTAACTTATTCCTTGCTCACTTTGTGGGTGAGTTGGGTGGTGTTGGAGTGAGGGTGAGTTCAGCATGGGCAGCTGGAAAACATTTCTAACCCTGGTCTTTATGAACCGTGAGTGAGTGAGTGAGTGAGAGTGAGTGTTGGTATTGGAGTGAGAGTGTGTATCCTGTTTGTTGACTGTTATGATAAGCATGGGCTGCTGAAAAACATTTCTAACCCAGGTTTTCATGGACAGTGAGTGAGTGAGTGAGTGAGTGAGTGAGTGAGTGAGTGAGTTAGTTAGTTAGTTAGTGAGTCTGTTGGTATTGCAGTGAGAGTGTGTATCCTGTTTGTTGACTGTTATGATAAGCATGGGCTGCTGAAAGACATTTCTAACCCCAGGTGTTCCAGGACAGTGAGTGAGTGTCAAAGTACTTCCATAATATCAAAAAGGAGCCAACAATCTAACAGATTGATAACTTTGAGGTAGCGGAGTGATACCGACAAGTGTCTATGGTACCCACCCCCAGGGTACAGCATTGACCTTGCAATCAACCCTCACCATGAGGTCAACACACCTGGTAATCTGCGGTCACATATATCCTCTAACTTGATGAAAATATTTCCAGTACAGATCCCCCCACAAACATGCCTCGACCATGATTCTCTCATTACTAATCGATCTCCGCGTTTAACAGAATGTCTGAACATGAAGGACACCTTGAGGCACAGACTAACAACTAGTCTCTGAAATGAACATATTTTACTGAAAAAAGTTCATAGTATAAAAAAATAAAATATAATGAAAAGGAGACCTGAGACTTTCTTCATTTTCTGAGGAAATTTAGACTCGCGTGGGCTTTCTTGGATATATTTGCTTCAGGGTCTGTGCGACAGACTACTTGAGACATAGTATCAAGCCATTTCATCTTGGAGGGTGTGCTATCTGATGTAGACAGTCGGGTGGGCATACACTGGTGTGTCTTCCCTGCCTTTCTTTGTCAGCAGATAGTGACATACTTGCTGAACTCTGAGAGACAGTCTTGCATTTACATGGGACCGGCAGGTTCTTGGAAGAACAGTGAAAACTAAACTACAAAGAAATGGTCCTCACAAAATTACAAGCTTGAGGGATTCAAACGCTGTAAAATACAACCTCAAAGGCCCCAATTAATTACAGTGAATGACTAAGTTAGGTTTTATGATACTTTTAGCAATCTTTCAAGAACATCATGAGGGGCACAAACAATTAGCTTCACCCATTGTAACAATGCTGGGAATCAAACCCTGAACTTTGGCATGACAGGCAAATGCTTTAACCACTCGGCTATCCCATTCCTTGACCACAAACAATAAATGACACAATCAGGTATACATGTCTTCTGTCCTCTCATGTGACAGGGGGGAGGTGGGGTAGCCTAATGGTTAAAGCGTTGGCTCGTCACGCTGAAGACCCGGGGTTCGAATCCCCACATGGGTACAATGTGTGAAGCCCATTTCTGGTGTCCACCGCCGTGATGTTGCTGGAATATTGCTAAAAGCGGCGTAAAACCAAACTCAGTCAGTCAGTCTCATGTGACAGAATATGGTCATGTCAGCAGTAAAATTGAAATGCTATTTTGTTGTATTTATCTGTCAAAACTCTCTATGATACCGTGGTAACATGACAATACACTGGGGTAGCCTAGTGGTTAAAGCATTCGCTCATCACACTAAAGGCCTTGGTTCAATTCCCCACATGGGTACAATGTGTGAAGCCCATTTCTGGTGACCCCTGGCATTACGAATATTGCTGGAATACTCCCATAAATTTATTATGTTATTACTACACCCAATTCAGGATAATCGCCTTTAAATCTTTATTTTGCATGCTTATCTG